TGGAGAGTCCTCCCGAGGTCTGCTCACAGGGAGAGTCCTCCCGAGGTCTGCTCACAGGGAGAGCCCTGGAGAGTCCTCCCGAGGTCTGCTCACAGGGAGAGCTCTCCCGAGGTCTGCTCACAGGGAGAGCCCTCCTGAGTGACCACAGCTGCCCTTTGCTGCACCGGGTTGCCAGCTCCTGGCTTTTCCCTGGAGTCCTGTGTTTGCTCCACAGGTGCCATGCAGCAGGAAGGACTGTGGGACAGCAAGAATTGAGACAATGCCTCAGCCTGAGTACAGAGACTTCTGTTTGGTGCCTGAGGGGCAGGTTTGAGCTTTGTTTCAGGCTAGGAAATGTATTTATTAAAACTCCACTGTGACACTCACGATGCTCAGTCACCAAACACACTCACCCAGTGTCACACGCGGCCCTCACCCAGCACCCAGGGCCTGCCCTGTCACACGCGGCCCTCACCCAGCACCCAGGGCCTGCCCTGTCACACGCGGCCCTCACCCAGCACCATGGCCTGCCCTGTCACACGGCCCTCACCCAGCACCCAGGGCCTGCCCTGTCACACGCGGCCCTCACCCAGCACCCAGGGCCTGCCCTGTCACACGGCCCTCACCCAGCACCCAGGGCCTGCCGTGTCACACGCGGCCCTCACCCAGCAGGCAGGGCCGGCCCTGTCACACGCGGCCCTCACCCAGCAGGCAGGGCCTGCCGTGTCACACGCGGCCCTCACCCAGCACCCAGGGCCTGCCCTGTCACACGCGGCCCTCACCCAGCACCATGGCCTGCCCTGTCACACGGCCCTCACCCAGCACCCAGGGCCTGCCCTGTCACACGCGGCCCTCACCCAGCACCATGGCCTGCCCTGTCACACGGCCCTCACCCAGCACCCAGGGCCTGCCCTGTCACACGCGGCCCTCACCCAGCACCATGGCCTGCCCTGTCACACGCAGCCCTCACCCAGCAGGCAGGGCCTGCCCTGTCACACGCGGCCCTCACCCAGCACCCAGGGCCTGCCCTGTCACACGCGGCCCTCACCCCGCACCCAGGGCCGGCCCTGTCACACGCGGCCCTCACCCAGCACCATGGCCTGCCCTGCCACACGCGGCCCTCACCCAGCAGGCAGGGCCTGCCCTGTCACACGCGGCCCTCACCCCGCACCCAGGGCCGGCCCTGTCTCACGCAGCCGCACTCTTGTTTTCCAACACCTCTGGGGCCCAGCTGCTCAGCTCTCCCTGCAGTTTCCTCATCTTCCCTTTCACAGAACACATGAGTTCCCGGCCATCACGCAGCTCTCAGGTGATTCTTACCACTACAGATATCTCACATGACAGGGGGTTTACACCTTCCTGGCACCAAAGCCACAGGCTGTCACTCGACCTTGTGATATGAAGCCCCAGCCCCTGCCGGGCATCTGGGCTTGACTCACACAGCTTCCCGTAGTGACTCCAGCCTCCAGGACAGCCTCCATCTGTTTCCAGCAGGGGCAACGAACAGGACACAGGCATCTTCCCACACCTAAATCAAGGGCTTGACAGGCTTTCTCTGGCCCTCTCGCCACTGGGAGGGATGGGGAGGATGGTAGTATTGGTAAGCTGCCGTCTTAGTTGGCAACGCCTCTGCACAAGGACATAACCATCATAAAAATAGAGTTCAATGTTTCCCAGTAGTGCAAGTGTCGCTACTGCCACTGGCTTTTGGTTGCACAAAGCATCTCTTCCTTCAGTTTGGGCTTGAGATCCATTTCATGAAGTTCAAGTGTAGCTTTTCCTGCTGGCGGTCGGTTGTGGGCACAAAGTATCCATCCATTCTCTCACTCTCAGTCTCTGTCCTCACAGGGTTGGTGAGTAACTAGGCAGCCTACAGGTGGGGCCATGTTTCCTTATCCGGTCAGTGGCTCTCCATCTTCTAACTGGAGAGTTCAAACCAGCTGCCTGCAGGCTTTCTGGTGGGGAGGAAGGGCCATTCCTGCCGTGCGTTCTTGTTCTCCGGTTGTCTCTGCTGCCTTCTTCCCCTCCTTGATTACCTGGTGAGCTGCTGGCCTTCTGTGCCAATGAGCCTCTCTGTGCCTTGGGGCCTGTCTCTTTTGAGTTTGAAAAGTTGGTGCAATTCTTGCTGATTACCACGGAACTGACGTGAAGATTCTTGGGCACGGACAAATACTTTGAATTTTATCTACCCCCTCACAACTTATATTTTTTGTCATTTTGACTTACATACTTGTGTATTGTGTGTTCTTAACAAGTACTTCTAGCTGCAGGTACCTTGGCCATTTTGAACTTTAACCTTCATCATAGTGATTTGAGAGAATTATATAGAATGGTTATGGTCCTAGAGAAGAATGAGCTTGACTATAACTCAGTAAACACATATTAAA